TGAGGGATCCCCCCCGCCCCCGTGCCCAAATTTTTGTGCACCGGGCCTCTAGCAATAATAATAAAAGCAACTACTGAGCCCCAAAAGGCATCAGAGCTCAAGAAAGACTGTCTGGCCCTAGCCAGTTTGGCTCAGTGAATAGAGCATTGGCTCGTGGACTGAAGGATCCAGGGTTCAATTCTAGTCAAGGGCGTGTATCTCGGTTGCAGGCTTGATTCCCAGCCCTGGTTGGGGCATGTGCAGGAGGCAACTAATCAGTGTGTCTCTCTTACATTGATGTTTCTCTCTCTGTCTTTCCCCATCCCTTCCATTCTAACAAAAAAATTTATGGAAAAAATATCCTCCAGTGAAAATTAACAAAACAAAAGACTTTCTGACTCTATTGGGGGCATCAGGGGACTAAGAGGGTCTTGGCATCCAGATTCCCACTTCACTCATTTCCCAGGCATGGAGTTATCTCCCACAAAAGACAGCACTGTTGGCAAAGTCAGCAAAGTATAGTTTAGTTCAGCAACATTTACTGAGACCTATTTGGGGCCTAGATTTGTGTAGTGTGCTGGGGCACAGATGGCTAATGCAGAGCCCTTGCCCTTGAAAGGCATAGTCTGATAGAGGGAAAGAGACATTAGGAGAAAGAGACATGGCAACACAAAATCTCAGATTTGGGAAGTACTTGAGTGTCAACATGACAGGGTAGATAGTGCTGGTACCAAGTGAAATAGGGAGCAGAAAAGGAAGACCCCTTTGGGGTTTGGGTAGGGAGTGAGATGATCAATTTTCTTTTGGTCACAGTAAGGTGCCTGTGGGCCATCCAAGGGGAGATGTCTGACATGCTGTCAAATATAGGAGGTTGAACCTTGGGTGAAAGACCTGGGCTAGACAAAGATTTGGGCCTCAGAACTTTATAGGAACTAGCAAAAAAGCACAGGCATTTCAAGGAGGGACTGGTAAACAGCATCAATGCAGCAGACACAGCAAGGAACAAGGGCCCACTGGATTTGGTAATTAGGAGGTCAAAGAAGCTCTGGGGGTGAAAGCCAAATTGTGACTGGTTGAAGAGTAAGAGAAGAGTAAGGAAATCAAGATTTGTTTAATGCAGATTATTCTTTTGAGATGTTCTGACAGGAGAGGAAGGAGTGACAAGCTGGTGATAACCCAACAGAGGGATGCAGGGTCAAATGGAGGTTTTGCTTGAGTGTTATTGTTTTCTTTTAAGGTGAGAAACACTCAGGCACAATTATAGGTTGAAGAACAAGAGCCAGCAAAGCAAGGGAGAGACTGGGATGAGGACCCAACGATGCTGGCAGAGGTGGCTCCAAAGCACACATGGAGGGGCACACTCTGAGGCAGGGGAAGGCCACCTCATCCTGAAACTGGCAAGTAGGTTGAGTGTAGCCCAAGATCAGTTCACGAGGACTAGACCTTGGGTCGAGGGGGCCCTGCAGGATGCCTCCATGTGGTCAAGAAGGTAGGGTGAAAGGGGGAGGGGCCTGAGGTGAATGGTAAGGATTTAAAACAGTCAGGAAAGATGAAAATGGGCAGAAAACAAATACAAGTTCAGATAAGCAGAACTGAGGTTTGGCCTGAGATTAAAAAAATCATACCTCTGCAGTGGTAGCAATCTGCAGGGCTATGTGGTTTTCTCCAGTAGAGCTCAGCTCCCTGGGCTGAGGAGTGAGTGAAGCAGAGTGGATATCAATTCCAGCTTGGAGGTTTGCAAGTCAGATACACCAAAGAATGAGCAGAGCCAAGAATGCTGATGAATAGCTGAAGTGATCAACACAGGATTGAGGGGAAGCAAGGTCAAGGGAGGTAGGAAATGGAGGGATGGAGGTTGGATGCAGGCAAAGAGCAGATGCCATGGAATGCGAGGTTGAGGGTCAGAAATAAGGACAAGAGGTGGTGGTCACTGACTGGGATATTGTGATGTCAGCTTTCAGAGACTGAAGAGCTCTGAGTGATGGAAATGGATTGCTGAGTGTCATGGAGAATGAAGATCACTGGAGTTAGGAGCTTCAGAGTCAGATGGGTCACTCAAATGAAACAGATATTGCTCCAGAAAGAAGGAAGAGAATCAGGTGCTAAAGCCTCCTGTGAGTGTGAGGGAAGTGGCTCAGGGTGAGGAAGCGACAGAGAAAAGGGAAGACAGACAACCACGGGTGTTTATAGGAACCAGTACAATATCCAGTTTGACTATAGTCCCCAGGGTGAATGGGTAAAGGAGAATCACATGAGGTGGGGTTACCATGATTGGGGCAGCCTCTGCTCAGGGGCTGAAAGATCTTTGAACGTCATCTAAGAAACCTAGATGTCATCAGGAAGGCAATACAGAGCCACTGAAGGTTGCAGAGCACCTATGGGAGGTATACTTTGGGAAGACAATAGAGGAGACAGCACTAAGCTTAGAGTCAGAAGAATGGGTTCAATAATAAACAACAGCTACCATTTATTGTACACTTACTCTGTACAGGTCACTGGCTAACCACTCTAAGGGGGTTGTCTCATCCATTCTTATATTGGACTCAGCCAGGTCCTAAACTGTGTGACCTTAGACAAGAATACCCTACTCCTCTCCAAACTGGGACTCAGTTCTCCCATCAATTAGTAGGAGGGAGATGGGACTAGGTATCCTTGCAAGGACTGGTCTGACTCTGCCATTCTAAGGTTGTGAGGCCCTGAGGCCTGCAGTGCCGCACCCTCTTAACAGATGGAATTCAAGAGACTTACAGCTGGAGGAGATGGGGGCTGGCCCAGCAAGGTGAACCCAAGCAGGACTCAACCACCCAGGGCCAGTCAAGGGTTGCAGAGCAGTTGAATAACCTCCAGCTCTTTCTTGCTTCCCACTGGACTGCAGAAAATCGGCGGGCATTCCGTCCTAAGAGAGAAGAGAGGATCTGAGAAGAAGGAACCAGTAAGCCCCTATCCAACCTTAAACTTTAAAAAGCTTGACTTTGTCCTCCCCACCCCACCCCCAGACTGCCCACTCTATACTGCTCAAAGCATTCTGGAGGCCCTTTGCTTCCAGCTCAGTTTAGCTGGCTCTGAGAAGAAAACAGGTGAAGGGAGATTTGTCCACTATTGCCGCAAGGCCCTCTTAGAAAAACCTAAACCTCTAACAAAGGATGTGTCCACCTGGTGCTATTTAGCCGTGCTGAGAACAGTAGCAGATACTCTTGTCAGGGCTGGGTTAGGCCCTGGGGTTAGGACTAGTCTCCCTCACCAGTCTTGGTGTTAGCCACGATCAGTTCAACCGTCCATCTGAGGATGTAGGTGGGCCGGATCCCACTGTTCCCCAAGGCTGGCAGTTCGGAGAACATCCTCTCTAGCAGGGCCTGCGTGAAGGTCTGGGAGTGCAGGCCCCTGAGCAGAGGCTGCCAGAATTGAGAGAACGGCTTTGGTACCAGGATATCATTGAAGTCCACGTTTTCTGGTTGTAAGGGTCACGCATTGAAAGAGAAAGCGGAGGTGGGGGTGCAAAGGGAGACAGGAAGGGGGGAGGTAGAGGGAAGAAGAGAAGGAAGGGGAGGAGAGAGAGGAAAAAAGAGAGGCGGCCCCACCACCAACAAAAACAGAGATGCCATTGCAGAGCAGGAGGAAAGAGAAGAGCAGAGCAGCAGGGAGAGAAACTAGTTAGTATCAGACAAGGAACAACTGACTCAAAACAGTATAAAAGAAGAAGAGCTCTGGTTCTAGCTTCAGCTCTGTCAATAACTCACTGTGTGACTCTGGGTCAGTACCTTCCCCTCTCGGGACCTCAGTCTGCCCATCTGTAACATGAGGATGTTGAACTAGATGACCTCACAAGGCCCTTCCAGTTCTGCTGTTCTAGCTCTCTAGCAAGTGGCTAAATCACAATTAACACAGCACAATAATGGCATTAAGATTCCCCCAACCCAACCCAACCCAACCACACCTCACCCCACACAATTCCAGGCCACCTAAGAAAAGCCCTATAAGGGCTTATAAGTGAGGCTACCTGTTCTGCTCAGCCCAGTGGGGCTTCCAGAGGCTATGGAATGGCAGGAAACAACCTTTCACCCCCCAACCCAGGGCCACCCAGCCCACCCCTGATGTTATTGCCCAAAAAACACAGGACCCTAGGCAGTAGTGAGCCCCCAAGACCCTACCTTCATACTCTATCTGCAAAGCTGCCAACTGCTCAAATGTGGGGATGAGAAAGCCATCATCTAGAAAAGCATCCAGCACAGCTTCCCTGGAGAAAGATGACACTCAATTAAACAAACTGAAGCCAGGCAGATGACCCTCTCCTACCCCCCTATCTACTCCCAAAGCAGCTAGCTAATGCCTCTGGCTCAAGTGGCTAAAGCAGCATGGGGGCGGGGAAGGGAAGATAGTTGACAGTTGGGTCTCAGGCTTCAGCCTCCTGGGGTAGGAGCTGGGCCAGAGACTAAGATCAGTGGGTTTTGAACAAGTGTTTACCAAGCACATGCTGACCTAAGGCCCATAATAAGGGCAGCAGCGACTGAACAAGCCTGAAAGCACAGATGGAGAAAAGTCTAAGGTCCACGGAGGAGTTAAACGTCTGGAGTCAAAGGGTCAAGGAATTTCACCCATTAGTTCCTGTTCAGACTGTGTCTCTGGACAGTGCTCCAGTCTCCTACCTCTCCACTTCTCCCAAGTTGCTCTCTTTCAGATCCTAGAAGCAGAAACTTTGGGGACTTCATTGCTAGACTGAATATGATCCTTACTCCTAGGGACCCCAAGAACCCAGAGCTAAGTTATAGAGGTTGAAAGTGTAGGCAGTAGGAGTAATTCCTCACCCCTATCTAGCTCAAACTGAAACCAGCACTAGCCAGCGGTCTCCTCCAGAGCTAGCAGTTTCCCAAGAGAGGCTCTACTAGCTGAACAGGCCTAGAGGGGAAACAAGAGTTCCCAAAGTATCTCAATACCTGGAGAGTTGTCATGCTCAGATCCCACCCTCCACCAGGCTAAAGAAGGAAATAGTTGTCTGTCTTTCCATCCATCTCCCATCTCCTCAGGTCATTATTCAGGAAGAGCACACAAAGCAGCCTACTAGCTGCCTGCGTAGCACAACCAGGCAGATACTACCGTATAGTGCAGGGGTGGGCAAACTTTTTGACTCGAGGGCCACAATGGGTTCTTAAACTGGACCGGAGGGCCGGAACAAAAGCATGGATGGAGTGTTTGTGTGAACTAATATAAATTCAAAGTAAACATCATTACATAAAAGGGTACGGTCTTTTTTTTTTTTTTCAGTTTTATTCATTTCAAACGGGCCGGATCCGGCCCGTGGGCCGTAGTTTGCCCACGGCTGGTATAGTGGCACAAGGATAGTTTTCCCAACTGTTGAGGGGGCCAGCCAAGAAGCCTAGGCTGAGCAAACATTGATTAAACATGTTTGGACCTAGCAGTATCCTGGAAGTGAAGAAGACTCCAAGGGCAACCCCAACCTTCACTGCAGGATCCCACCCAGGCCTACTCTGCCACTTACATACCACCTTCCTACCTTCTCTGCTCCATCCCAGATTCATTTGTCTCTCTAGCTGGGAAGGTATAGCACTTCCTCCGCAGGTTCTCAGTGGAAGGTTCCCCAAACTTCTTTCTAGTTAAATTTAGGTAGCAAGCCCCCAAGAGCTAGGAAGGAGAGAAATGGATAGACACTGTCTGAGCACTACTGGGGCAGGGGGAGTTGGTGGCCATACTGAATAGGGAGGGACTTAGTCTTTTGATGAGCCAGGCCCTGGGAAGGCCCCTCCTGTTTCCCCAACCACAACTATCCAGGGGTTGCTGATACTCTGACAGAATTTCAAAAGAAAAGACCAGCAATGCCCATCATATATCTTTTACCTCAAATTTGGACAAGGGCTAGGCAGCAAAATGGTAAGGATTAAGGCCTTTTCCTAGTTGCCAAGAGCTCCACAACCACTGGACAGAGAAGGCAGACCTAGCTAGGAGATGGATAACAGTAGACCTCCTGCCTCTGGCCATTGAAGTGATTTAGTAGCTGCCAGGGCAGAAGAAAAAGGGTCATGCAGAATGCAGGGTCACCCCATGGGGAATCAGAATTATCACTGAGATTTCCTACAGCAGAGGTTGGCAAGCTGAGATATAGAAACTCATTTCAGTGAGGCTGCTACACTCTACCTTAGAGAGTAGGCAGCCCTTGATTACTTAATTACACACCTGTTCTCGCATGTAATGCCCTTGAGTTCTGCCAGGATACAGTCTACAGGCGGGGGCAGTTGATTCCACACCTTAACAGCCTGAGGTAAATACCTAAATTTCTCCAGTACCTGCCAGCAAAGAGGGTCCTATCAGAAGGCTGGGTTAGCCAGGCAACCCACCCCCAACCCCTCCATGATGCCTTCCCATAAGACCTCTCAGCACTTTCCTTAAGGGGCCAGGGCAGGACATACAGGAATGGACTCACCTCTCCTCTATGGGACCTGAAACTAAAAATATCCTGAACCTCAAATACCAGATATTCTCCCCTTCCTCCTCCTCCTCCCACCCCTTAATTCCCTGTGGCTCCCAACAACCATATACCCTAATACTGAATTGTTCATTAGGGGCATTTGGTTGGAGTTGGGCCAAGGGGTGAGGGAAATCAATGGAAGAAAGGTAATCTGGAGACACAAATTCTATTCCTGGTTCCATCGCTAACTGCATGTGACCTTGGGCCAATTCACTTATCCATGGATTCAATTTCTTCATTGGAGAAAAGGCAGGGTTAAGCCAAATGATTTCTAAGCTACCTCCCTTCCTGCTAAAAAACAGCACTCCTCAAGCTTACCAGATCTAGTAAAGTTTTTGGGCACCATCTGCTGATTAGTTGCAGTACTGCAGGGCTATGCAACCACCTATGCCCAATTGCTCCCTACCACTCAGTGAGACAGATAGATTATCCACAAACTTCCATTATCTGCTCCCTTCCATCGGTGTGGGGGATCAGCCAACTGGACTCTGCTCCTCTTGTCTCCTTCCTAGTCCCCCCACTCTCTTACCAAGAAGTTCCCTCAAGCTTTGCCATTTTTCTTTCAAATTCCTCCTCAGGACTTCTCTCAGGTAGCTGGCAAAAGGGAAGAAGTGGCTGGGGCAGGTGAAAATATGCCAAGTCAAGGGCACTTTCTTACCTTAAACTGCTCCTCTTCATATGATACCAGTAGTTCTCGGGCTCTTTCTGAAAACAAAAGAGGGAAACAGATAGGACAGGCAGCCTAGCACCTTCTACTGATAGGGGATTCTGAGCCTTTCTCACATCATTTGTTGAGTAACTAGAATTCTTGCCTCTCCTACCTTACAGGACTCAAGGAAGATGGTTTGTGTCTACAATTCTTTTAAGCTAAGACTCACCACAACCTCAGACGAAATGCTGAGCATGGAAAATAACCAGTATTAACCCTACACCTGAGTCTTCCAAGTTCATGGATCCCTCTCTGCCTTACCTAAGGACACTTACCATACAGCTCTTTATGTCTCTGAGCCTTCTCCCAATGTGCATCAATCTCTTTGTCACCTGTGCTGTCTCCATCAGCCCTGACATCCAGCTCTGCACCTTTCCCTTCATCCATAGGCTTTGGTTTCTGTTCTGTGATGTCATCAACAATGTTCTTTGATTCCTCTTGGTTGTCTTCATCTGTCTCTTCCTTGTCCTCCTCCAACTCCCAGGTCTCTCTCAGGCTGTTCTCCAGTTGGCGGCACCAGTAGGTTTTCTGGAGCCAATCCAGAACAAAATAGCAACCTAAAAGAGGGGAGGAAAGAAGGCAGTGCCCTAGGAGCAGCCACATGAAAGCTCCTAGCAGGCCCCCAGCTCATTTTGCAAGCACTATGGGAAGGCCAAATAGAAAAGGTTTGGCTCCAAGAAGGCACAAATCTTAAACATCCAGAAGCAGACCTTCTTCCTCTCAGTAATCCCCGTCCTTTGCTTTCTCCTGCTTAATAGCACCTTTCCTAGAAAAAAAACTAATACCAGATTTACATACAGGAAGCCAAAAATGGCACAGGGCTGTCAAGTGGGAGAACAGGAACAGCCTACTAGGTAGTTACATGGCCTTGGCCAAGTTTCCCCAACATGAAGGGGCTAGGCTGAATCAGAGGTTCTTAGTTGGAATGGAGTGTCCAAAGAACTGCTGAGTTCCTACACTTTATGGCTCACACCTCTCAACGTACTCCCATTCACCTCCTCCTCAGGCATAAAATTTAAGGGGAAGCCAGAAAAACACAATTCAGATCAGAACAGTGCTCTGCCAACCCATATTGGAGTCTAAAGCAAAAGGATAATTCAGTAACACTAATCCTGTCTTCATTTTAAAATGTTGGTATTTTGTTCATTATGGGTTTTTCCACATTGAAATGTTATCTATCATGATTACTGAGCTTTTCAAGTTTGCACCCAAGACGAGTGCCTAACTTGCCTCACCTTAGTCCCGGCTCTGACCCCAGGTGAAGACCTTCCTCCCTCTCCCTCTCCCTCTCCCCCCAGTGCCACCCAACCCAGGATCCCGGGCTCATGATAGACATTCCTTAGGGATTCACCTCTACGGCAGTCATTTATATGAGGCATTTTCTTGTGGGTCAACTCATGGCGAAGTTCAACAATCCAATCCGGGATGTTCACCTGATTGTGAGGGAGGGTGTGAGTGCAGAAATTAGAAAATGTTAAAGCTGGAGGAGACCACAGAAATTAATTAGCTTGGCCTCCCCCCATTTTACAGATAGAGAAACTGAGGTCCTGAGAGGAGGTTTCAGTCTTTCTGGCAGAGCCAAGATGAGAAACCAGGTCTCCTGATTCTTTTTACCGCTCTGAGGAGGTAAACTAGAAAATAAAACGATACTTGCATCCCCCAACCACCAACCACATTCCTCCAACAAAGAGATTCCTATAAATGAGCATCAAAAACCACCTTCTCCAGACTTCCTCTCTCTTGCCTGTACCAGTCTCTCTCCCTGGGTACCCTTACCTTCCTCCCTCCCTCCCACCCTTCCTCCAGGAAGCTTCACTTGATGGCTGAGAATCCTCCTGCCCTCTACGTACCTCACATACTCAGGGTAGGAATACCTGGTATTTTCATGCTGCCTGGCTGAGCTTATCTTCTCCCTCAAACTGTCAGCTCCCAGAGGGCAGGTGCTGTGACGGCAACCTCTTTCCTGGCCCCACCCAGTAATGCATTCCATTTGGGCACCTTGGCTTCACTGGGCTACTCTCAGAAAGATGGGAAGGCCAAGCCCACTGAAGATAGCACTCATAAATAAGGGAGGAAGTTGGCTTCTTTCAAGCTGAAGGCTGAGTCTCTGGGGTTCTTGCCTGGCTGGCTGGCAGTGATGGAATGAACTAGCCTTACTGTGTGCCCACATCACCCCATGCCCCATTTACTGAGCTCTCCTGGGGAGAGAGAATTGAGCAAGACCACTTTGTCATACGCACCTCCTGAGCCAGGAACCTGAGGGGGATCCTGCCAGACTTTGTCTTCCTCTCCGAGATAAGATTCACAAACCTGGGGTTAGGGGAGAAATGAGTGGCACAGCCCAAGTAACTGTTTTACTCAAACCAGTAGGACTTCAAAACACCTTGCTGAATTAATGACAGCTTGCATTCCACAACCTTTCCACTGACTGTTCTGTCCTGTTCTTATGGTTGGTGTCAGCCAGAGCAAGGATGGTTCCATACAGTCCAACATTTACTGAGAGTCTGCCCTGTACTAAAGCCATATAGATAAATAAGACACTGGAAGAGTTCAGTCTAGAATAAATAGTCATGACATAATATAACATATTTATGCTACAACATTCTAGGTTTTAAGTGTTAGAACAAAGGACTGCCCGGCTGGTGTGGCTCAGTGGTTGAGTGTCAACCTATGAACCAGGAGGTCACGGTTTGATTCCGAGGCATGTACTCGATCCCCAGTAGGGAGCGTGCAGGATGTAGCAGATCGATGATTCTCTCTCATCATTGATGTTTCTATCTCTCTCTCCCTCTCCCTTCCTCTCTGAAATCAATAAAACTAGATTTTTTTAAAAAGAGAGTAGGTCAAATGATATGGGGAGCACAGCTTAACAATGGAGAAGGTACGAAGAGCTAGGAATGACCTCAAGTCAGACAAGGGGAATAGGATGAGATGAGCAAAATCTTTGAGATGAGAAAACTCAGTAGCAGCCTTTTCCCCAATGTGCATGAGATAGCTAGAACCACTCTGAGTCACTTTGTAAGTCAGGAACTCCCAGCCCATGTCTCCACTTCCACAACTCAGCAATCTTTCAGAGAAGGGTAAAGGGTAGTGCTAGGTATAGATGAGGTAGAGTTGGAGAATCCACACTAAATCATGGCCAGGGCACTGAACCATTCAGAAAAGTTCCTCTGGGTGAAAGACTTAAAGAGGAAAGAAAGAAATCAACCTGTCAAAGCTGGAAGAGACCTACAGGGATCACTAGTCTGAACTACCCCACATTCTAAGAAAGAGAAGGAAAGGAAAATGGAAGAGAGAAGGCTCTCAGGAGAAGAAAAAAAGGAATGTGTGTTGACAGGGAATAACAAAATCTGTCAAGTCAAGCAATCACAGGGTGACCCATACACATGGACACACAGGGCTTTTTCCTTCAGGTTTCACCTGAAGCCAAGATTTGTTTGTCACATGCTACCCCACCCCATCTCTGCCCCCAAACCACCCTCCACCCCTACCCATGTAGGTCTTACCTGACCAGTGCCATGCCATAGAGCAGTCTAAGTTCATCAGTGCCCAAGCCACCAGTTACATCCAAGAGCTTACAGCGTACCAGGTCAGCAGTAGAAGCCACTGCCAGGGGCAGTTCGTTGCCTAACCTAAAGAGCCACAGTCCAGCACCATCATAAAGGTCCCTTAACACTGGTCCACCCTCCACCTCAGAATCTAGGTTGCTGTAGATTATTCCAAATACAGGGATGTGCAAAAGTAGGTTTACATTCTGAGTATCCAAACCACAGTTTATTCCTGTATTATTATTTATTACTGTATTTATTTGTATTATAACTGTAAATCTACTTTTGCCCACCCTTGCATATACTGGCTCAAGTGTAGAACAGACATATTTATTACTGTATTTATTTGTATTATAACTGTAAATCTACTTTTGCCCACCCTTGCATATACTGGCTCAAGTGTACATGAACAGACATAAATCAAGACGGTGGGAAGAGGAAGGGTAATGACCCTGGGATCCAATAATATACAGGGAATGAGAGGTTGGCTAGGTTACACAGACAACATCTAACTGCTATGCAATCAACCAACAATTCAGCATGGACACAACCCCTTCTTTCCCCTTAAACCCTCAACTCATTCTGCTAGAGAAGACTCTTATTTCCTTGAGACTTTTATACCTTGTCTGCTTCCAAATAAATCTTACCAACTGGCTGAGGCGCCCCATTCAAAAATGGTTTTGCAGGCAAGCTCTCCCGGAACCTACCTAATTCAAATCGGAAATACACCCTAGGATACTAACCTACTCCTTAAGCCCTGGCTCTCTGGCACCCTCCCCAAGATGAGGAGAGAAAGGTAAAAGGTCGAAGATTTAACAAGAAGGTTGCTGAGGCAACACCCCTTTCTTTCCACAAATAGGATTAGTGCAAGAGCTTGGCTGCGACTTTCCCCCAGGCACTTGAGAGAAGCAACACCCAAGCCACTCATAGGGAAAATAGGGCCTTATAGGAATTCCACAAAGGAAGGTGCCAGCAGCATGCAGGCAGGTTGCCTTACCTGCTCCTCCATGCTGTGATGCGGTTCAGCGCGTACCGCTGCAATTTATGGTCATCACAGAACAGATACACCGTCACCTGATCCCACTCGGCCTTACTGAGCCAGGCGACTACGATGCGCTGGGCCCAGAGGGGCGACAAGCCTTTATCTTTGACGAACTTCCCACACCACGCACTCCACACCAGATCCATCCCCCCGGAAGGCCCAGAACTGACCCGGCCCTGGTCCTGGATTCCCACCATACTCTCGGCTAAACGCTAAGCCTTGGGCCGCGACACTCCTCAGAAACTTCAGCTCAACACGCTAGCCTCACTTCAAACCGCCACCGCGCCAGCAGCCAATGGGACAGTGTGACCTCCAACGCAAGCCCTCCTCCCAGCGTTAGCGTGACAAATCGGAACGTGAGAGCTGGGGACCAGATGAACCACAAATTGAGGGTACGTCTTCGTCAGCCGGAAGTGTTCTTTCTCAAAGTAGCTGTACCAACAACAAGCCTTCGGCCTCAAGGTTCCGCTGATTTCCTGGTTGCAAACAGGTCTCTCCATCCCAGATCGGGACAGAAGTCTGGAATGCAGGAGGAATTTTAGTTTGCGCCCCCTGGCGGGCAAGAGAGGAATTGTGACTGTCCCATGTACTGGAAATGTGCTTATGAAGCAAAACTACAGAATATCTAATCTTAATATATAAAGAGGTAATATGCAAATTAGCAAATTAGGCCCGTAAGGGGACAACCGTTCACGGGTGGGCGTGGCTGCAGGGCCGGAGTGGCACTCCGATCTAAGCGCCATTTCGTCCCGCCCAGGCAGATTCCCCCGTGGCCCGCAGTCAATCCCAAAGCCGACCTGGGGTTTACTATTTTGCTGGAGCTGCTCCCAACACCCCCACCC